CACTATTTCAGCCGTCTCTGAACCGATTTTGATCCCAAAAAAAGATGAATTTGTCATTTAAGTTTTATGTTTTTTTCAAATTTGACACTCAGTTTTTTATTATTTCACCAAAAAAATATTTTGTGTAGCGACCTCTGCAACAGAACTCAACTATCCCTTTAAAAAAGCTTTGCATAATAATCTACTTCTTAATGCTTGAGTGTCTTATCATGGTAGCTTGGCTAAAGCTGGGGTAAGAATATAATTGCAGGGTCCTCAGGGTGAACAGCAGCACTCAAAATACACCGGGGCGATGGGCGATTCGCCCCCGTGAGCTACACAATCAACTCCGTCAGAGTGCTCACGGGGGCGATTACAAAATATAAAATCGCCCCCGTGGAATTATAAAGTAAACATTATCTTTTCCGTTATAACTTTCACACAATATTGAGTTTCAACTTTCAAACCTTAAACCAATGAAATGGAACTATGGAAGTTATATTTTAATAGCATGCATGATTTTTTCGCTCGAATTTTCTGTGTCTAGAGGCTGCCATATTGTAAAGAAATAAACGCTTTTTCGCTGCAAGATTGCGCTATATCTCCACATCTCTATATGGGTATTACAGAGGCAAACAACTGAAGCTCGCAGTGCACTGCGGCCGTCAGCACTAGCTGCGCCGGTAGTATACTGGGAGCGTACTATATTCAATTCAATACTTAGGTACAAAATTTAAGCTTTTTACTTGTATTTGGCTTAGATAAAAATTCAGGTATTCAATTCAAACTTTTGGCCAAGGAATTTACCCTGAGTTTAAGACAGCTCCCTACAAGACTTAGGTCAATTTTTTGGAGGCCTTAATGATTGGCAGGCATATTATGGTTTTCTTACTTACGCAGTACAGCATCAGCGCGCATTACTTTTGACTGACCGTGTGATGTCACAATGCCTATCAGTTAGTATTTAACTTAGATTTTGTCTTACCGTAAGTAATGTCTAAAATGTGATTTGAATACGAGATAAGTTTTTTACTTATGCTAAGTATTGAACTGAGTACCGGCCCTGGTGTGCACACTGACCCATATCTGCTGGAGCTAGAGGCGATCGCGCAAGGACCGTAATGTGGAGAAGTTTTTCGTTGTGAAAATCGTGATTCCAGCAAATAATGAACCGAAATGAGAAATTTTGTACAGAGGGAGGAGATCTGACCATTAGCTGCATGTTATAACTTGTAAAGTTGTAATGGGGAAATAATGCCGAATATTAATGATAATGATGAAATAGCATCTAATTCAATGGAAATTTGTATTAAAAAAAGAGCCCCCGTCAGTACTAAAAGAGCCCCCGTGAGAAGGCTCACGGAGGCTCTTTTATTTTTGGAAGAGCCCCCGTGGACAAAAAATTAATTTGAGCCCTGGTGAACAGCATTAAAAACATGAATGCACCTCTACTTATTAATATTCCAGCCTAAGATTTTCAGAAAATCTCTATATTGACCCAAAAATGATAATAACCATCCATTTTTCACACGCTCCACCCCTCGAAAAAGGGTAAATGCGGTCACGTGGCTTGATGACGCACTTGACGTTATTGCAGGAATGTCCTTGTATATATCCTACAACTAAGGATCTTACAATCTCATTGTAATTCATAATTAGGAATGTTGAAATGGCCAGTAACGTTCTGGGATTATGAAGTGCATATTATTTTTCTGTGAATGTCTCTTTTTCTTCAATTAATATCATAGTTTGCTTTTTTAAAGACATTTAAATGCCTAAATCAACCTCCTTTTCACCGAGAAGTCGCCAAGCAGACGATTTTTGCTTAGACTCATACCACAGACCTTTCATTATTTTGCGTGTGCGTTCTCGTCAGCCTGACATCAGTTTCCTTAAGAACACAACCTATCAAACAAGTGGGCAAAGAGTCCATGATGTTTATTCTTATCATTATTTTTTGGCATTCGTGCCTTACGCTTGTGGCTTAGTTTCGTTTTGTCAATTCTAAGACTGGAATTTGCCGATACTATCCAGCCACCAGGAAAGGAGGAGACTGTGAGGACTGCAGGATTTTTTTTTTTTTTTAAATCGGCAAAAAAAAAAAAAAAATCAAAATCGGTCAAGAAATGAGGGAGAAGAAGCAATTTTTGTTATTTTGGAATAAATTTGCATAAATTACCATAATTAATTAATGGAGAACAATTTCAAAATTCTGTGTAGAAGTTTAGTGTACCAAAGTTTAGCTCTACGATATAAAGCAAACCAAATCAAAATCGGTCGAAATATGAAGGAGAAGAAGCATTTTTTTGTGATTTTTAAATTATTTTTGGAATAAGTTTGCATAAATTACCATAATTAATCAATGGAGCAAAATCTCAAAATTCTGTGTAAAAGTTTAGTGTTCTAAATTTAGCTCTACCAGATAAGGCAAACCAAATCAAAATTGGTCAAGAAATGAGGGAGAAGAAGCAATTTTTGTTATAAATTTGCATAAATTACCATAATTAATTAATTAATGGAGAACAATTTCAAATTCAGTGTAGAAGTTTAGTGTTCCAAAGTTAGCTCTATGAGATAAAGCAAACCAAATCAAAATCGGTCTAGAAATGAAGGAGAAGAAGCATTTTTTGTGATTTTTAAATTATTTTTGGAATAAATTTGCATAAATTACCATAATCAATCAATGGAGCAAAATCTCAAAATTCTGTGTAGAAGTTTAGTGTTCCAAAGTTAGCTCTACCAGATAAAGCAAACCAAATCAAAATCGGTCGAGAAATGAAGGAGAAGAAGCATTATTTGTGATTTCGAATAAATTAGCATAGATAATGAATTTCATGATTCTGTGTAGAAGTTTTAAATCCCCCTCCTAGCCCTATAATATGAAACAATCAGAATCAAAATCGGTTGAAAAATAACGAAGAAGCATTTTGAAAACTGTGGACGGACGGACGGACCACTCAAACTACTAACTTTTAGTTAAAGTACTAGAGTTAGGCCTCAAGAGTTTCAGTTTAGACCGCTCGTTGTCACAATACAAGAGCATACCGACAATGGGATGCATGAAGTTAGCGACCGTAATGATCATCATCAATTCATAATGTTAATTACTTGCATGAATTTAATGAGGATCTGAGATTACAGTCGCTTACTTCACGCACGCGCATGCACCTGCACCCAATCGTCGGTGTGCAATTGTGCAGCGATTTGCCGTGAAACCTGAGAGAAAGTGCATGTATACTAAATTACTAATGTCTTCGTTTTTAGGGAAATACTCCCCAAAATATAAGAAACTTGACATGAAACAGGTAAGAAAGATACAACTTTTAAATCATGACCATTATTTGAACAATTGTTGAAGATTTAGTTGATTTTTGGTATGTCATAGAACTTATAATAGGGTATCTCTTTTTTTCTGAGCAGTGTGAGTCATCATTTTTTAAGCTAGATTCCAGAATTATTGATGATTTCTTAGAAAAATCATTGTCATATTTGGGATCTCCATCAAGAATTGTTCTACATGTCTTTTTTTCAAGTTTATTCAAGTTATTCTGAAAGGTTTATGGTATTCTTGCCCATAAATCACCAGTTAAGAGAGGTATACAGCAAGATATTCTTAGCATAATGCAGTTTCTCAGCACAACATGGGCATCGCAATTTTCTTTATAAAGTGATGTACTATGCGAAGTCACTTATCAAGTAAATATATTCAAAGGTATGGATGCTTTCTTCCAAGTGTGAGAAGTGATGAAGTATTTCATTCACCTGCTATTATCTTTTGTACTACAATTATCAGAACATAAATTGCATAAATGATCTTCTGGGGTGCAGGTTTCATATGAATAAATATGGTTGGTAAACTGCTACATTTCAGTGTTTTAAATAAATGAGTTACAACTGTTCTCCTGTTATATATATATATTCGCTAAATCATAACTTTTACATTTTCAGCTACGATTTTCTCTCCTTGAAAAGTAAAGGTTTTGTCAATGACTCGAATAGTCTTTCTAACTAGAGCTTGGTGCATGCTACATGTACAAGTTTGCCTGGTACGTCACATTATCAACAAAATGGCTTGCTTATGTCATGCTGATAGACATTAAAACATGCCAAGAATGTTTTCTTTTATTTAGCTGATCTACACTTTTGTAAGGAATAATGTATATATCGATAGGCAGGAATAAATTTTATTTTATTTATTTATTTATTATTATTATTATTATTTTTTTTTTTTTTGGGGGGGGGATAAGATTTCCTTTAATACTGATGAGACTATCAAGGTTAAACAACATATATTACTATCATTATCATTATTATTATTATATTACTCAATTGTTAGATACCTAAACTCAAATACATATTTAAAGCTACCCCGTAAAGGTAGTGTATCCCTTTTGCAGCCAACATCAAATTCTGTAGAACTTTGCAGGTATTGTGAATATATCATGGATGACCTATCTGTGAAATTTAAACATTAGCAGTGTCCTATTATTCAAATTATGCAAGAAACCCTATTTACTGTCTAGACTTCCTGTTACACACTATTTAGTGACTGACTGACTTCTTTTTCTTCCTTTGGTAATAACATGCATAAAATGAGCTGTAAAGGGTACATGAGCATGTACATCAAAAACCCACTTCTCATATTGGCCGAAATGAAACCGATTGAATCTTTGCGCAGCTCAAAACGTACGACCATTGGGTACAAGTATCTGAAAATCAGACTTTTTAATTAAACAACTGCGATCGCTGAACTTGATTTGACAACTAACAGTAATTATTTTCCCACAAAAAGACATTTTAAAGCCCTTTTGTATTGAGGGAAGTTTTAAATTAGTATTATCTTACTAATAACATTGGAAATTAACCTTTTCATTGTGTTGGCTTGCAAATGGGACATCGTACCTTTAAGAAATTAAAGAAATTAAAATGTGGCACAGGGATATATTTTGTGCAGCACAATAATGTAATTCTACATGTACTTAGTAATTTCTAAACTAATTTTTCCATAAAGCTAACCCTACCTCTCCAGGGCTCTCAGTTCCATCCTGGCCACTTTGAGTCACATTGATTGGTTGAGTTGCATTGCTATCCAACATCTGACTGGCTGTCAGTGAAACTGGACTGGTCCATTTTGGAGCTGGGGTGGTATCAGCTATCTCAGCTTTAGCTGTGGGTTTAGTTGTAGCTTTTGTTGATGATTTTGCTGTTGTTTGGACTGTAGGTGGCTTTGGGGTTGGAATATCTAGAAGTTAAAATAGAGGGAGACTTACTTTTAGAATCTGAGTGATATTACATGCATTTATAGAGATCAAGATAAGCATGGACATTTTTAATAAGGTGCATGGTACAATAGTTTGAATACATCTCATAGGTTGTTACCAACATAAAAATAAGACATTTACTTGTGAGAAATCATTGTTAGTTTCAACTTAGTGTAGAGTCTGTTGGACGAAATTGATTTTTGAGATTCTGAGGACAATTTTTGAGACTGAAAATAAATTGTAAGCATGGGTAACATGATTTAATCCCAATGCTGACTAGATAATAACACTGTACCGAACTCGACCCCCCCCCCCCCCTTAAAAAAAAATATAAAAAAATAAATAAATCACTCAACTCTCTTTTACATAGGCCTGCTGCTTTTTCATGAATGCATTGATCAAATCATTGTGCATATGTTACCGGGAATCAAAACTTCACAGGAGCACAGGTCCATTGTAACTATGATACATGTACTTGTACACAATGTAAATTGCATGTTCATCAAGAAAGATAAGATTTACATGTATACCTGTAGCTGCCACAGTAGTTGGTGATGGTTTTACATTTGTGGTTGCTGGATTAGATGATGGTGATGTAAGTGATGAGTTGATAACAGCATTCAGATTGTTAAGGGCTTCCACTGAGTTGTTAGCTGAGATTACATCAGATGATGATGTTGCCGCATTGGAAGATGCATCAGAGGAAGAGTGAGGGGGAGAGGTAGGGGGAGAGGTAGGGGGAGAGATAGGAGCGAGAGGAGGGGCAGATGTGTTGACAGATATAGAGGGAGTATCAGGTGATGAAGGAGGAGGAGGAGGAATGGAAGGGGTGGTGGAAGGCGCAGGAGATGTTGGTGGGGGTGCTGTGTTAGAAGATGATGGAGCAGAAGAAGAAGAAAGAGAAGATGAAATGGTTTCTTCCTGGTTACTGAAAGGAAAGGAAGACGTAAATGTGGTCTTTGAAATGGAATGACTTTGTAGTGTGGAGCTGCGAGATGACATGAATGATGATAAAGATGGGGAGATTGATGCTGGCATCAGTGATAAAGATGTTGATGAGGAGGATGGAGATGATAATGATTGTGAAGCTGATCTTGAAGAGGATGATCTTGAAGAGGATGATGGTGATGATGATGGTCGTGATGATGATGGTGTTGATACTGATGATACATGTGATGATTGTTGTGGAACAGAAATTGATGAAGATGATGCAATATTCCTAAAAGAAGAACTAGGAGCTACAGGAGAAATACTAACAGAAGAATCAGACATGCTTGATGAGGAGACAGGTCGGATGTGAGAACGTATCTTATATCTACTCAGATTCTCTTGTAATAAATCAGGGTACAGAGATCTACGAACTCGATGATTAGCATCTACTTTAGAGTACAACAAATGATCTAATAATCTAGGTTTCTGATCTGTTACTATAACGAAAAATGGAATATAAGTTTGAAGACCCCAAAAATGGGGAGAGGGGGAAAAACAAATTTGAATATTAATCAAGGTGTGGATAAGTGATAATTCTTTTAAAGTGATACATACCGGTAGCTGCTTCATAAAAATTATTAAAAGAAACTCAACATTTTCCTACATTTTCTTATTTATATAAACAACAAATTCCTATATTTTCCCCATATACACTGTGCGTAACAGTATTAAGCAATCAGTTGAACTTGAAAGAGATGAAATGTAAAATGTAGTTAGTAACGAGAAGCAGCATGATTATATCGAGTATAAATAATTTTAAAATGTGATTAGTAAGTACAGTTAAGGTTAATTTAGATGCAAACAGATCACATTTTTTTTCAGAAGATTAAAAGTACATGTATGCATAATGAAATCAGCCATGAAGTTAATAACAATATCATATTACAATATTGATGATTTTTATTCTAAATGCTGATACAACTTGATAGCACAATACAATTATATATTAAATATAAATCAAGTGCACTGTAAAACTATTCATGAAATTTGATCAAATGACAGACCACTTTTATGAAACAGCACAGTTCCTCAAAACGCAGATTAACCCTTTATTTTATAGCAAGGACTTTCTTAACCGGTTGAATACCAAGCACAAAATAATTCAAGATACACTAGTTACATCTTAATCAATGAGCTTGATATACAAGTAAAAACAGCTTACTTTTTTTAAGGATAACGTATATGTTTGCATTACAAATTTAGCCATGATGCTAATGAATTCAATATTATGTTAAAAGTACGGATGAAATCTTCAATGTTAATTGTGCACAACCTCAATTAACATATGAAAATAGAAAGTGTTGAAAAAGGTAGCATAATGGCTTGATAAATGTACACCTGTTTATATATAAGGGCAGGTCCCAGCTATTGTCCCCTCTGGGGGTCAAATTTCATCTTTATATATATTTAACAAACTATACCTCATTTTAAAGCTGAAACTATGAATTTTATGAATCTGATAAAAAATTTAAAAAATTATCAAAATACGAAGAGTGCCAAGGTCACGAACTTCGGTTTTTATTAATTAGCGTGATGTACGGGACATTACATTTTTATTTTTGTATCTCGTTTGAATTATTTGTTTAAAATTAAATATCTCAGGAATTGTAGACCATCATGCTAGAAAATAGGAAAAAAATATAAAAACTTTCAAAATTAATCAATTATGCAAATGAGGTAGGTTCCAAAGTGTGATGTCCCGTACGTCACAATTTGATCATAATTTGTTTAATTTTAATTATGAAAATAATTTTTTTTTTAAAAGATATACTAGGAAGTTCTTATTTAGATGAATACCTAACAAAAAATAGGTTTAAAAAAAATTACAAAAATTCTGTGTTGATTACATAATCAAATTAAGAAATGTGACGTATGGGACAAGTGTGTGACATACGGGACAACCCTATATAAAACCAATGCAAGATTTGAAAAAGGAAATGACCAAAAGGAGAATATTATACTGTGTTAGGAAACTTGTTGTATATATGAACATTCCTACTGGGTCCCTTCTAGGAATTTACTTGTTTGTACTGAATTTGATGTAATTAGTCTTCAAGCCAGTCCCCTGGTATTATCAACTTTGGTATTTTGCCAGTTGATGTCCCCAACATTGGCAGGATGCTAAATATGTAAATCATAATAGTGTACTAGTTCCTGGAATGAGTCTAATGAAATTATATGGTAGCTTTCTACAACTCATAGATGCTGCAGGTAAGAATCTTAGCACATGTATGCTATCAAGCTCTCCATGTGAGGTTTTTTTGATATTCTATTTAAATGTCATGATGGTAAAGGATTACAGCATACATTGTACATGTTATGGAGCCAGCTTGGGAATTTTGATCTCCTAAAAACTAAATCATAACTTTTAAGGAAGGATAGCCTTTTTGAGTATTTCACACTCCACCCACTTAAGATTTTTATCACTTTTACACCCATGCATTTTTGTTGATTTTGCTTTAATCTTTTGAATTGTGGAAAAGGTCACACAAACCTTTAGGGTTTTAATTTCTTATATCTGGTGGTGTTAATAAGATGTCTTTAATCAATACAAAATACATCCAAGATTTATATTTTTGTATCCATCTTTCACAAACATGTAGGCTACATTAATGTACATCAAAATTCTTGAATATATGACAGCAACATGTATGTTCTAATCTGTGATAAAAGGATTTAAAAAAGACAATATGTTCAGCATTATCTTTGGATTCCTTCAAAATTCTATATTACTATCAAGTAATTCAAACAAGCTATGAAGAAAAGACTTCATATTTTTAATGTATCTTTGTTCACAAACACTTAGAGCATAAGAAATGTTCTTTGACAAAATATGATGTGCCGAGTGTGCCCCTGTGTTTCAAACAAGTTTAAATAAAAGTTTTGAAGTTCAAGTTTATCTTCTTCATTAATTATTATTTAAAGACATTTTGCAATGTTGAATGGAATGGATAAAAGAAATGAGAAAAGAAGCATGACTGCACATGATAGATGGGTAAATGGAATAAAAATGGTAATATAGTGTGTATGAATATATTAATTCAATTTGTTTTCTTTGTTAAAGTAATATTTGTATTGATTTACCCCATAAATTAACACAGAGGATATTAAGTGATGGTCAGAGGATCTAATTGGGTTCTAAAACACTCTAATTGTCACTGATTTAAGTTAAAATTGTTCACATTTTACAAATTTTGACGAAAATTCTTCATTTCAATGCATTTTCCCATAGAGAAAAGTTGTCCCGTACGTCACATGTCCCGTACGTCACATACACACATTTATGTTTTGGTATATTACATAGCAACGAAAGGTCAGAAAAATATGATAATAGTTGTGATTAATGCTTGATCCCATAATGAATTAAGATATCATTACCATAAATCTCATAACTTAATAAATTCAGAGAACTTTTATGATGAACTTATTTTTGAAAAAGTCAGAAATTCTCTGGTCCCGTACGTCACGCAGCACATTAATTACATTAAAAATTAATTTATGAATTGGTCAGAACTAAAACTTTCCACAAATGAACTAGCCCATAATAGCCACAGACTCATACCAAAAGATAGCCATATAAATAATGTCATCCATTGTTATTTCTTGTTAAAAGTCTCTGAATGTCCCGTACGTCACAAAGCAAATAGCTTGGACCTGCCCATAAACCTGTAATCGACTCTGCTGAACTCAAACAACTCTGAATAGCCAGGGCACAAGACATCCTTTGCGCGCAAGACTGTGTGTACATACCGACATAATGCAAGAGGCTGAAACGCGGGCCCCTTCTTAACACGCGCCTGTTGTGTTCATGGCAAAAACATAAACGGCAATACGTTGTTCTGCCATGCTCACTACTCCAATTAATAGTATAGTTTAATTTATGAATAGAGACCCTTCAAGAGTTAGTGTGCACCTTCACTACGCCCGCGTGGGCATGCGCTCGCACAATCACTTCCACAGACAAACGCAAATGTGCTGACGCTAACTTTGTCAAAAATACATGAGTTTGTACACTTAGCCTATTCTGCCATCACGATTTGAGATGCGTCGTTTTGCCGCAGCAACTCTGTCATTAATCAAGACATACGTTGTTCTGCCATAGCAATCGCTTGGTTAGTGCGGCAAAACAATGTATGTTTTAATCCTATTCTAACTGGGCTATTTCAGACCAGGTTTTTACAATTTGACCCCCCCCCCCCTCCCCAAGATCTCGGCCGTTTCACAGCCGATCGCCGCGAAAATATGCATGCATGTCAAGTGAAGTGTATAAAATACTATGGTAATTTCAATTTTTTGAAAAATTCACTCATTTGCATATTTATGGTAATTTGTGCAAACAAGATCATAGAATTCACATTTTTACCCATAAATCATATATTATTCTTATTTTAACGTTATTTTTCACTACATGTATTCATAAGCCATTTGGAAGAATAATACAACAACAAAAAATTGGAAGAGCTAGGTTATTTCATATGTTATCTCTTGTTTTGATAATTTCTTATGTATTTCATTATTTTTTACCTTATGTATTTTATTGTCATACAAACATGACAGAGAGACCTGAATTAACAGTGCTTCAGTACGCTTTTTCGCGTCCCAAGCACAGATGATGCCAAATTAATGATAATAGTAAAATAAAAAAAAATAAAAAAAATGAATATCCATATTCTACACACAAATTCCTTTATTTTAATTTTTGTTGTTTTATTTCATTTTTAACTACAATTTAACTATTTTGACCCCAAAACAAACACCTAAACTTTAAACAAGACCAAATAACCAATTTTTTCTCTCTTTTTTGGAAAAATTATATTTCCATGTTTTGTACACAAATCACAAAAATGCGCGATTTTCGGGGTGACTAGCAAAGACATAATGCTGTGTAGTATTGTCCCAAAACCCAGTTAATCACCCTCATATTTGAGATGCACTTAAAAGCCAAGTTTATATCTTTATAATCCTTCTCAATAGAAAGACCAAGTGCATTCATAATCCCCTTTCCAGGAAAGACCACCTCTGTTATGTTTATAAGCCCCATACATAAAACTATCGAGTAGTCCTTTGTTTTGGCGGCTCTCATTCATGTCTTAGTCCCTTTGACACAATGTAACCTACCCTCATATTACTTGCATTCTTCTGGATAAATATTACATGTTCTGGCTTTCTGAGAGGAGTTGAGTTTTGATCAAGACCCTCTTTCTAGCTGGCTCGCTCTTCATCTTGTGTTTTACATTATGTGGAAGTTTGTATGATGTGGCCGATTTGAGTCTCCAAAGTTTGGAGATAATAAATACTCTTGATATGACTCAGGAATTACAAGTCTCTCCTTGCTTCTTCATATTTATGTACCTCTCCAATATTCCAATAATTTAGTAGACCGATCCCAACACGACAATAAGGTCACGTGACTTTTCGAAAAATTGTTTCAAAAGATGCGTAAGACTCAAGAAAAAAGTCATGAAAGGAAAACTTTATATCTGCAGCGGTTCCGGAGTAGTCGCGAAATTAGTACATTCATGTAAATTATTCAAATATGGTGGCCTTTTGTAACATTATTTTTATTGTACATAACAATGACCTTTCAGTCAGAATACAAAATATTTAACAAAACTACAAATAGAACTGTACTTCTGTAAAGTTTAAACCTGAATTACGGGACAAGACGCTACGTGTAGCTACATTGTTTTGCCTTAGCACGACCTTAGCACGACCGGCTGCCAACCTTCTGCATATGAGTTCGCCATTGCGTCAAGTATTATATGTGTATTCAATGCGTGCATGCATATCTGCGTTAATATTCATGATTCTTAGAGGTGAATTTTTAATTTCTAACCGAGGGCCTGACATTGGTAATAATTACAAATTGTCTGTACTAGTTGGGAGCTATGCACGCAGCATGCAACTTTTAGACACTGCCCTGCAACCGTGACCGATTTAGTGAATGTGTTAGTTGTGGTTACTGAAGCAGATTTTATGCATATGATCATTAGAGGCCTAAAACAGCAAGAATGTACATTATAATGTCACTAAACCTAATCCTATTGCAATTTCTTACAAGATTGAATCGCGTCCAGTCCTAAAGCACACTGTGTCAGAGAATCTACTAAGAGTTACTTACGATGTTTAACTGTCGCTGAGATGAAGCCTGAACGACGAACATGTTTGGTGATGCATACATTGTTTTCACTACCATCAGGTACACACTGTACTAGAAAACAATTCATTGCCTCTGGGTATGTCTTGGTATGAAACACAGCCAACGTACACCATTCTTGAAGAAAGGAAGACAAGGATAGTTCAAAGAACAAAAACCATTAATTCATGTTACAGTGAAATCTCTTTACTCTACAAAGAAAAAAAGAGGATCATTTGTTGAAGAAAAGGGATACTACATATACAATGTAAAGTGAAACTTGTAAATATAGACATTTAAAGAAGAGAAAGGAAACTTTGTGGAAAAACAGATTCCTATGAGTAAACAGTATGGAAGTGGTCATAAAGGCACGTTAAACAATTTTTCAAATTAATAACTGTTACAGAAAATTAAGTAAATGCTTGAGCAAATAACTCTAGCACCAATGTAACTTTATAGCAGTATTAGGAATCAATTCTCTTAAGCTTGTAAAATTGTTACCTTATCTTTTGTAAGAAAAGTCTTTTTTTGTATGCAAGAAATTCATAGTCAGCAATAAATGATATCGTTACAACAACTTACAGTTTTAATTTAGATAACGAAGAAAATGTTTGTGATTAAAAACTAAATTTCTAAACTTATTTGCACCACGTAGGTTAAGACAATACCTCTGCAAAAACTTGGAGAAGATGAGTGTTATAACCATTGCCCTTACCGCCCTCTGATTCACAGCATGCTTCTGCACATTTAAACTTGTTTTCTGCATGAAGATCCATTGTTACTTTGGCTCCGGCATCCTGTGAAAGTGCAACCTGTAGGACTGAGTCCTCTTTAAAGATGAACTGACACTGGTCATTAGGGGAGGTGACCGTCTCTCTGATCACGCTGAGGGAGAGAAGAACTACAAGCCTGCAAAGGCAATGCAAGGTGCCCATAGCAGGAGCTCTAGAGAGGGCAACAAATCTAACCAGAGGAGAAAAAAATACAGGAAATACAGTGTTAAGCACTATAGCACTGGAAAGATCTAAAATGTCAGATAGGAATGTGCTGCAACTGATAATTTGATACTTACTTTACCATAATGGCAATGAGTTTCGTATATGAAGGCACACGCACAGGGTTTACACTAATCGTTATTATTGTAAAGTATATAATTGGCAATTGCAAAAACAATTTTTTACGTGTATACCACTCGTCTTCAAATTTTGGCCGGAACAACATCGCAAACTCTTGTAAGAGGTCAATCATCAGGAACACGTAGAACTAGAAGGTACGCAAATCCAGTATTAAAATGTAACAAGTCAACGCAAAGCGTAGCATCCCCTCGCAGGGTACAAATGGCCTATATACGTTAGAACAAGTTACCTCGATAATAGACTATACTATTATATTACTGGGCAAGGAAGTTGACCACATTTTCACATATATAATTAGGTGTTTTTGCATATTTAATGAGCTATGGCCTTTTACCTTTGACCTACATACTCGGAAATCGAACTTACGCTGTGTTTTGATACCATGAACCTTCATATCAAATTTGATTAAAATCCGTCAAACATTATTAAAGTTATCGAACGGAAACCAGATTCGCATAATGAGCTATGACCTTTGACCTACATACTCCGAAATCGAACTTACGCTGAATTGAACTTAAGCTTCGTTTTGATACCATGAACCTTCATATCAAATTTGATTAAAATCCGTCAAACATTATTAAAGTTATCGAACGGAAACCAGATTCGCATAGTTAATGAGCTATGAGCTTTGACCTACATACTCCGAAATCGAACTTACGCTAAATTGAACTTGAGCTTCGTTTTGATACCATGAACCTTCATATCAAATTTGATTAAAATCCGTCAAACATTAAAGTTATCGAACGGAAACCAGATTCGCATATTTAATGAGCTATGACCTTTCACCTACATACTCCAAAATCGAACTTAGGCTGTGTTTTTATACCATGTATGTATCAAATTTCTTTAAAATCCGTCAAACATTACGTTTCTATATCCACTCCGACTTCGTCGCTGAGGAGATAATTAATTTTTTTTTAATTACAAAGTGCTTTCTACAAGAAGAAATGAGAGTCCACTAGCGAACTCCGAAGCCAGTGTTTATTGTAAACAGTGCCAGCGATGTCAACGATGTAAAGATGTTCCTTTTAGTTCTTAGTTACCTCCTCCTGATATCGATAATGTCAAACTGCTTGCGTTGCAGACAATCTTACCTGTGACGTCATCTAAAGCAGTCACGCAAAATCGGACAGGGGGGGGGGGGGGCGTTGAGGTCTCCCTTCATTTTGATAAAAAAGTAATAAAATTTGAAAATGGCATAATATAGCAGAATACAGTTGGTCCAATTGGCAAAAGGAAGCTGAAATATTTGGAAAACAAGGGAACTTTTCATCAATAAAACTTGTTAGTTCCATTCGTTTGTTATTTGACATCAACATTGATTCATTAAACTATTTGTTAACCATTTGAAATTATATACCTCACTTAAGAAATCCAGCCATCTGATTGGTTGAAATTGCATTCATAAACTTTAACTATTTCTGTAAAATTCCCAGTAACCATGGTTAAAACAGTTCTAAAATCCCAGTAACCATGGTTACCGGGAAATAGTTCAGTCTCCATGGTTACCCCATAGGTTTACATGTTAAACTAGATGGAATTCGACTGCGCGCAGTCGAAAATGATGCCTCCGTTATAGAGCAATTTTACAAACCAAAACAGAAAAAAAAAATTGAATTCACGTTCAATGGTAATCCATTGACAGGTTCTCAGAATATTGTGATTACAAGCAATTTCTCATATACATATATGACCCTTTGATCTTTGACCTCATGACCATAAAATCTACTCAGTTCATTGGCTCTGCAAGATGTTCTGAGTTAAATAGTAATCCATCTGTCAGTTCTAATGAGAATGCGTTCACAAGCTATTTTTGCATACATAATGGGCCCATGACCTTTGACCTTATGAACCAAGAATCTACTCAGTTCATTGGCTCTGCACGTAACAAACATGACCTAATTTTGGCATGAATCCATCAATCGGTTCTTGAGATAACGCGATCACAAGCTGTTTTTGCATTCATAATGTGCGCTGTGGCCTTTGACCTTTGACCTACGTGCTCCAAAATCTAATCAGATTGTCTTCCTATGGTGATACACACTGTCATTAAGTTTGAAGTTTAAATCTCCAGTGGTTCTTGAGATATTATGATAACAATCTCAATGTATGGAATTTCATAAGTTGACCTCTGTGACCCTTGACCTTTGACCTACGTGCTCCAAAATCTAATCAGATCGTCTTCCTATGGTGATACATACTATCCTTAAGTTTGAAGTTTTTACATCTCCAGTGGTTCTTGAGATATCATGATAACAATCTCAATGTATGGAATTTCATAAGTTGACCTCAATGACCCTTGACCTTTGACCTACGTGCTCCAAAATGTAATCAGATTGTTTTCCTATAGTGATACACACTATCACTAAGTTTGAAGTTTAAATCTCCAGTGGTTCTTGAGATATCATGATAACAATCTCAATGTATGGAATTTCATAAGTTGACCTCTGTGACCCTTGACCTTTGACATACGTGCTCCAAAATCTAATCAGATCGTCTTCCTATGGTGATACATACTATCCTTAAGTTTGAAGTTTAAATCTCAAATGGTTCTTGAGATATCGCGCTAACAAACTCAATACAAGGAATTTCATAAGTTGACCTCTGTGACCTGTGACCTTTGACCTACGTACTCCAAAATCTAATCAGATCGTCTTCCTATGGTGATAAATACTATTCCTGAGTCTTAAGTTTAAATCTTAAATGGTTCTTGAGATATTGTGATAACGGTCAAACGGGACGGACGGACGGACGTACGGACGGACGTACGGACGTACGGACGGACGTACGGACGTACGGACGGACAACCCGAAAACATGATGCCTCCGGCACCACCTTCGGTGGCGGAGGCATAAAAATGGTCTGAGCGATCGAGGATACCGTACATGTACGTGTGCGAAGAATTGGTCGGTAATTTCAATACAATTGAATCTCGATCGATCTTACCGACAATTTTTATCTTGCATTGTTGACATGAAGACGAAAATAAACTTCCAAAAACAAAAAAAACAACATCTGTCGATAGATCTTGATCTAAATTCGTGCCAATATGCATTGCAAAAGTAAAAGAAGGGCCCGTTTAATGGAGCAGCCACGAAGCATCCACCACGCGAAGCCGTTTTCAATCCATTTTAATGTACATATTAGAGAAAACTGCTCTGTAAGGTAACAGAGCGCGATTGCCGAGCGGTTTAAGGCGGTGATTTTAGTAACATCACCTTCTGTACGCAAGAGATCGGATCCCATCTTCGACAAAAGTTTTTTTAATTTTTGTTTTTTATTTTATTTTTTTTCGGCATATAAAAGTATTAATGACTGCTTTAATATTCGAGAAATAGTTGTTTTTATACGCTCAAGGGAAGGTTAGAATTGTGCTATTGCCCGAGGCGTGCCGAGGGCAATAGCAGTCATTAATACTATAGTATCACACAGCAGGTTTTACAAAATGTTGCGTGAATGTACTACAGTATCGCCTAACTAACTTTATTCACAACCAGGATAGTAACGCTGCTCGACATGTGTGCCCTAACCCAGTAGTTCATGGGATCGTACCATCACATCATAGTTCGTTGGTAAGCCAATGTTGTATTGAATATTATATTGCACGCTAACATCATGGGTCGATGGCTAGCGGTGCACCCAACGATGTTTAGCTCTTTCATTGCTATTACTTCATGGTAGTTCATGGGATCCATAGATCATTACGTACGGTAGACCGAAAGCTTCAGTCTCTGATATCGACAGTTGTTCCACTGAGATTACATCTGGCTCCTCTGACCGCCTCTATACATGTGTAAGGTTGACAAATGTCAGTTTTATTATAGCCTATCTGTTTGGCCACGAGAGATTAAACCTCCCTGGGTGGTCACTAACAGGCGGATATCTCAAATCAGCTCTCAATAAACAAAAGAACTAGATGGATGTTCGACTGCACGCAGTCGCAAATGATGCCTCTGCCATAGAGCAATTTTACAAACCAAAACAGAAGCAATTTTTAAAATGTAAATTTGATTGTAATCCATTAACAGGTTCTCAGAAAATTGTGTTTACAAGCTATTTTTTCATGTACATGTATGACCCTTTTAACTTTGACCTCATGACCCTAAAATCTAATCAGTTCATTGGCTCTGCAAGATACATAGATCTACATGTACATGTTCCGAGTTTGATAGTAATCCATCCGTCAGTATTGTACTGCGTTCTCAAGCTATTTTTGTAAACATAATGAGCCCCATGACCTTTGATCTCACGTCCCCAAAATCTAATCAGTTCATTTGCTCTGCAAGATACATGTATGACCCAAGTTTAGCGATAATCCATCAATCGGTTCTTGAGATAATGTGATCACAAGCTATAAATGCATGTACATAATAAGCACTGTGACCTTTGACCTCTTGACCGAAAAATCTAATCAGTTCATTAGCTTAGCAAGATACATACTTGATGGTTACGAGGTTACAGTGCTTCAGTTCGCTTTTTCACCTCCCAAAGCACAGATGATGCCAAATTAATGATAAAAGTAAAATTAAAAAAATAACGAGGGAAACGCTCTCGGCGGTCTCGCCTGCATTACGCAATTCAATATGATGAAAAATTGAGGTTGGACATTATTCATAGGCTGGGAGGCCCGTTAGGAAAATATAATATCCATATTCTAGACTAGATCTACACAAATTCATTTATTTTAATTATAATCAAATGAACGGCAAAGTTTTTACTAACCCTGTAAACGATCATCGGATCGGACGCCGATACCGATTCGATCAGGGGTGATCGGATCATAATTTCCGATCACCGATCAATAAAAATGTTGATATTTAGTGCCTT